GTATGCTGCATACATATATCTATGGTATGATCTAGCCTTACCAGACTTCGGACCTGTTAAAATTTAAATGCACAGTGCCAGTCACTGCTGGAGCACATGAAAAAAAATTAAAACATTATTTTCTTCCTGTGTGTTCACACCACAATGCTGTTTGCATTTTTTCTGCACAGCATCGGATGTCAACCCAGCTTAGCGCTGCTCTGTGGAGACTGAATTGAGTGTACACTGCCAGTACAGTAACAAAAAAAGGAAGCTGCCTTGTGTAGTTATGCCTTTTGTAACAACACAAGGCACCATTGTCACCCAGCCGAGACCTGTTGTATGCTAAATCGGAATCTTTTAGTGTTCTGCAGGTCCGAATGAGCCGTAAGTGTTGCAGGCACATCAACAGGTTTATACAAAAAAAAAAATTTTTTGTCCTCGAATGTTGATTTGTATGCGCTGTAAGCCATAGCAGCTAATGTCTACAGGGCCGGAATGGAGCAAAAAATAGGCTATGGCATTTTAGACTAAGGCTGGGTTCACACCTAGGCGTATTGAATATGCGCGTTTGTTGCATGTTTCGTGACGTGCGTTTTTACTGCGAATCGCGGTAAAAACGTTGGGATACTTGGTTGTATCCCAATGAAAACACGCGACAAAAACGCCCCAAAGAAGCTCCTGTACTTCTTTGGGCGTAGGGCGTTTTGTAGCGCGTTCATACGGCCTGTAATACGCCCAGGTGTGAACCATACCCATAGGGAATAATGGGATTTCGGTGTTTGAGCGTTTTGCAGAGCGTTCGAACGCGCTACAAAACGCCCAGGTGTGAACCAGGCCTAAGCAGCCCAGTCACATGACCGCCGATAGGCCCCCACCCTGTCATAATCTGGGGCAGAGCTAAACATAGAAGCACAATTGAGGGCCTAATTACAGGGGACAATATACTGTATATACTCTATAGGTGGCACATACAGTACAGGCTTTATAGGGTGCAGGGATAGGATAAATATAGGTCCATGGTGTACAAATAAGTATACAGGAACCTTTTGAAAAAAAAAAAATCGTATGTAGTAGTATTACCCCTCTTCTACAATGGTGTCTGCCTCACAGACCATTGCCGAATGGTCTTTCAGCTTGTCCCTGTGATCCTGTTACACTGCCCGTTTGCTTACTCATTTGTGTATTGACCCGGATTGCCTCTGACCGCTGCTTGCTCCTGGATTCTGCCTCTGTCTTCTGCTACTGTACTTCGCTGCCTGCTCGGTGTGACGTTGTACTAGTCTGACCTGCTTCTGGATCCTGCATCTGGACTATCACCAGGCACACCTCTTGGCACTCGTGCAACTCTTCTGTCCTCTCACTCCCTGTCCTCAGCTGTGCCCTGGGAAATAAAGTTACACATAAAAAATTATAAAAAAACAAAACATTTTTAAAAAGTCCCCGCCAAAAATTTGGGTAATAATAATTGTTTTATAACATAACATAGAGAACTGTTTTTTTCCCCCCGAAGTTTTCGGTACTTTTTTCATTGTATAGTAAAAAATAAAAACCCCAGTGGTGATTAAATACCACCAAAAGAAAGCTCTATCTGTCCCCAAAAAATGGTATAAAATTAATTTCAGTACACCATTGCATGACGGAATAAATGTCAGTCAAAGTACCGCAGCGCTGAACACTGAAAAATGGCCTGAACAGGAAGGGGGTCTAAACACCCCGGTCAGCAAGTTGTTAAGTATAAGATCTTAAAAATAATCAGTTCGAAAAATAGCCAGTGGAACTCAAATTTAATTCCAGCCTGACTAATTTCTCATCCAGTAAGAATGCGTATATAAAATCTTAATTTTCTGAGAGATTGTAATATCACGGCTAGAGCTGCAACAGTTAATCGATTTAGTCTATTAAAATCGACGATTGAAAACGTTGGCAACGTTTTCGATCGTCGATTTGTCGGCTATCGATTGATTTCCCTGTTCGGGGCTCTACACGCGGCCTGAAGCACACGCTGCTCACGTCCCGCTGCGCCCGCCCTGCCAAATACATTATATACAGCGCAATGCAGAGTAACGCCAGCTACAGAGGACTACAAATCCCAGCAATAGTACATATGTAGTATAATGTAGTATTGCTACATTCCTCTATAGCTGCTGGTATTCTGCACTGCGACGCTGTATTATGTACTATATTGCACACCACACTTTTTTTTTACTTCTACCGCGCCAAGCTTGCTCCCGTGATGGACTACAATCTCACCAGAAACTAGTAGTCCATCACTGGAGCCTTTTTTTTTTAATCCGATTAACCGATTAATCGAACTTAATAATCGGCCAACTAATCGATTATGAAAATAATCGTTAGCTGCAGCCCTAATCACGGCCTTTAGTTATAACCAAAGGCCTCATCTATCTAGTAAAATACTGGAGTTAAATCAATTATAAAACGGCATACTTCACCCCTAATTTTATTTTGAGTATAAAATCATGGTGGTAATCCACTGGAAAATAACTGGTAGCAGTCGGTGTTGATAGGCAAGTGTTCCCTGATAGGGTGCAGTTAAAGCATATCTTTAACAAAAATAGACAACATAAATAACATACAAGATAATAAACGAAACGGGGAAGGACAACAACCAAAACAAAGTAAACATATAACGGGGAAACCTGTGCCCAGGTAAGTAGTTTGGTCGGGGTGGGCTGGGGCCTAAAATCACTCTGTCTTTCTCATATTGTTGTAGAGTTTATATAAGCCAACCAAGGATCCCATGTAAGCTCGAATTGTGCAACTTTGTCCAGGAGAATACTCGCCAATTCGTGAGTCACGATCCAAGACAGTTTAGTCTTTACTTGCCTCAGGGGCACCCTGGGTGTGTTCCAGGCTTTGGCAATCGTGATTTTAGCTGCCAGGAACATGAAAATAATCAATCGTGTACAATGCCTAGAAGCTCCAGGGACAGTGTCATTAACCACTTGAAGTCCGCGGTGTTAAACCCCCTTCCTGTCAGGCCATTATTCGCTATTCAGCGCTGTGGTACTTTGACTGACATTTATTCCGTCATGCAACGCTGTACTGAAATACATTTTATACCATTTTTTTGGGGACAGATAGAGCTTGCTTTTGGTGGTATTTAATCACCGCTGGGGTTTTTATTCTTTACTATATTAACCTCTTGCCGTCCGCCCGTAGTAGAAAAACGGACGGACGGCACTGCTGCATTGGCGGGTGGCATTAAAAAACCCCCAAAAGGTTTAACTCCCCCACCCCCACGTTTACGCGCCTATAAACGTAAATACGCGTCCGGTGCCCCAGCGCGCAAAAATTACAATTGCGCTACACGTTACATATCGCCGCGAACGTCGCAGTGAGAGCAATTATTTTAGGGCCATCAATCACTGATAACACTAAACTGATGAGCGGTAACAGCTTTTAAAGCGTCGCATATGGCCAATTTTGGGGGAGCGATGACTCCATACCTCCTCTAAAACTACCATACCCAAGTCCTGTTCCCAGGACAGCATATGTGGCTGTTTAGGTGGGGACTCTAGCAATATAGACTACAGTAGAGAAATAGCCCCTCTCTGATTAGTACACTGAAGGCACCAGCATTCATAAGGACTGAGGCAACTGCTAGGGTCGCCTCGTGCAAGTATAGTACGTAGAAAATGAGTGATTTGATAATAACGGAACAACTCCGATAATGGCATGCCCAGCTGTTCCCTACAATATTCCAGCCCATCTTAAGATATTGACCAATTCTATATAATCCCTTGTCTAGCCACCATTGAAAAGGTTTAGGCCTGGTTCACACCTGGGCATTTTGTAGCGTGTTCCTACGCTCTGCAAAACGCTCAAACACTGAAACCCCATGATTTCCTCTGGGTATGGTTCACACCTGGGCGTATTACAGGCCGTATGAACGCGCTAAAAAACGTCCTACGCACAAAGAAGTACAGGAGCTTCTTTGGGGCGTTTTTGTTGCGCGTTTCCATTGGGATACAGCCAAGTAGCCCTCGGAAACACGCGTTTTTACCGCGAATCGCGTGACAAACGCGCATATTCGATAAGCTTAGGTGTGAACCCAGCCTTAAGGTGCATACCAGGCCCAAATGCTGGATTCTGGTACAAAGGAGCAATGGGAGTGTGGGATGAGCTAAAGTTTCCATGAGTTTTTACCCGGTCCCACAGGGCTAAAGAGTTAGAGAGGGTAGGGGCCATGATAGGTGGACGTAGTCTAGAAGGTAGCCATTTCAATAGATCTAAAGGCAAATCTCTAGCTGCTGTGGATTCCATGAGGACCCAGTCCGGTGGTTCCTCCGTGGAATATATAACAGATAACTGAGCTATACGTGCAGCCTGATAGTAATGATGTATATCTATCCATCCCATCTATCCATCCCACCTATCCCACCTATCTATCTAAATATAGTGACCATTAAACCACCTATTCCATATATGAAACATTTTTGCTCGAAAT